GCGGGGCGCTGGCCCGCGAGCGCTTCAAGGTGGTCTTTGCGCCGGTGTACTGCAAGCGGACCTGTCTCAAGGGCCAGTGTCGGGACAGCTGTCACCACGGCACCAACATGACGCTGATCGGAGAGAACGGCCACAGCACCGACACACTCACTGGCTCCGGCTTCCGCGTGGGTGAGGGCCGGGGGATCAGGCTGGGAGCGGTGGGAAGACAGGAAGAATAGGCACCAGGACCAGGCAGGCTGCAGAGTGGAGTCTCCTCGGGCATTAGAGCTGGGGAGCTATGGTACACATGGCAGAGATCTTGGGCTGCAGTCCTGGAGGCCAGAGTTGGGGGGTGGCTGGCTACAAGAGGCCTGAACTTTGAAGCTTGGTTGAGGTTGGGGGCTCGAATGGGGTCGTGGGTGGCACAGGCTCCCAGGAAGGTGCTGGAACACACAGGGCTTTTGAGGAATGTGAGCAGGGGCCGGAAGTCTCCAAGAAGGGGTGAATATTTCTCCACAAAACATGTTTTAAAATGACTGAAGCAGGCCCTGCCCAGAGCATACACCTGCTTTCTCTGGGAGGAGGAGGAGAGGAGGTCAGGGCTGGGGTGAAAAAGTCACTTACTGGCAAGGTCTGAGAAGGAACCGTGTCAAGGAAGGCCTAAGCAGCAGAGTGCAGCCTGGAGGTAGAGACTGACTTGCCTCTTTCCCATGCCTCCTGGAAGGCTCTCCACATCTTAACGGCCCTCTGAACCACCCCAGCCCAAGCCCTTAGGACCTTCCCACTCAACCTGGAGTCTCTCTTTTCCCCTGCATGTCTCCTCACGGGCCAGGCCTGGGGCATGGGCCTTCTCTGCCAGGGCCCTGTGGGCCAGGCTGGGGGAGGTGTCCCAGCAGTAATTACCCTCCTGGACAGGGTAATTAGGCTGAGCCCAGGATGGCACCAGCAAAACAGCCCCTCTCACACATTCCTCCGTTCACCCATACACTCCAGCCCTAAGAAACCCCACCAGATGGTGTGTCTGTGTGTTCACATGGCCCTCGTGTGTTTGGGGGCATGATTAGGCCTTGGAGTAGCACATAGTGATTAGCCAATGTCTCTGTGTTGTTTTCTTGGGTGTCTGTCTGCATTCACTGTCCGGGAGGGGATGAGAGTGTTTACATAATGAGCCTGTGTTGGTGTCAGAATAAGTCAGTGTGTGTGAGAAGATGACTGTGCATGTGAGTGTGTGTATAACCTGCCTCTCAGGCCCCCTGGCCATCCTGTGCAGGCTGCTGTCTCCATCCATGCTGCCCACATCCCCCAGGCTAAGTGCCCAGGCCACAGTGGGCGGATGTCACTGGGAGGTCACCCTCACCGCTATGGGTGACTCACTGGGAGGCAGGAAGGAGAGGATTCTGCCTCATCTGGCCTAGGACACACCTCTTCTGCCCTGTGAAGCCTGCTGGCTCCAAGAGGCCAGGCAGGATGGGCTGGGTGGGGCTGGGATCATTTTAGCTTGACCCTGATGGTGAGGGATTAGGGCTGTTCCTCTGAGACCCTTAGGTGTCCTGGAAAGCAGCACAGCTGCCTTCTTGCTCTGGGAAGTGAGAGCATCCCCAGGAGAGGGGCCCCAGTTAGTGTAGTAGCTTAAGGGCTCCAAGGTCCTGAACCACATGTTGGGTATACATGACAGAGAAACAGTGAGGTCTCACTTCTTGCTCATTCACTTCTTCATTCATCTCCTGTCCCATTCATCTCTGGGACCCAGAGCAGAGGTCCATCAGGCTCTGTACTCCAAAGTACCCTGTAGAGTTGGGGAGACTGACAAGACTATAACTAAGCAAAAAAAACTCAGGACAGCAAACACAGTAGGTGGGATGTGAGAAGGGCTCCCTTCCTGGACAAGAAGCTGAGCTCAGAAGGGTCATGTTTGAACATGGAGAGATGGGAGACAGAGGCCTGGGTGGAATGAAAGGCAAGTAGGAGGGAGGGAGGTGAGCTCTGGGATGCAGAGTGCACATGGGAAGACCAGAGGGGCCTGGGAAGGCTCTGGGCTGTGGAGAGCCTTGGATGTCCAAGCAAGGTCTGGAGCTGGTGTGTGTTGTGCCAGAGCTCTGCCTGAAGTGGATTTTCCTAGGGATGATGAGATTGTGGACAGACAGGAAGAAGCAGGGAAAGAGGGCCTGGGTGGCATGGCCAGCGCCGGGGGAAGGGCAGGGGCCATGGTGAGGAGGGGAGGTGGGTTCCTCGGAAGTGGGGGGCAGCAGGAGAAGGTGCTGTTTTTTGTGGCTGGGCAGGCAGGGCTTCCCGGCTGTGAGCCTAGGTAGGGAAAGGTGCTGATTTCAGACAGTGTTAGGATGGAGGTGGCTAAGAGAAGTATAGGAGAGGCCAGGGACTGGCTGTATCTGGGGTTGGGGCATGACTGCCATTGTCAGGTATGGGCTCTGGGGTGGCAAGGCAGAGGCAAAGGGAGAGAGGGTGAGCCTGGAGAGGGGCTGAGGCCAAAATTAGGAGGATGACAAAGGAGAGATCGCATTTCCAGAAAAGGCCATGGGAAAGCAGCTCACCATCATCATCACCATCATCATTACCAACAGCAGCAGCAGCAGCATTTGCAGTCGCTTATTCCATACTTCTCTGTGGAATTCTCTGTGCTGAGTGTTTGTGTGGGCATTGCCTCATTTAACCCATAAAACATGTCCATGGATGAGGGCAGGAGGGTGTGGGGCAGGGGAGGTGAGTTGCCGAGAGTCACACAGCTGGCACACGGCCTCACTGGGATTTAAGTTGGAAACTTGACTCCACAACCCACCGTGGGTATAACACAGTTAGGGACCTAGATAGGCAGTTTCTGTGTGTGTGATGCGTCACCAAAACCAGCTTCCCAAGGACAATAGAGCCAGTAGAGAAGGTGGGCAGGATGTGGGTGAGAGGGCCTGGAGGCTGGAGGTCAGCCTGTGATCTGACTCACGTCCCCTTCTCAGTGGTGTGCCCTCTGCCCTGCATGAACGGTGGCCAGTGCTCCTCCCGAAACCAGTGCCTGTGTCCCCCCGACTTCACCGGCCGCTTCTGCCAGGTGCCCGCTGGAGGAGCTGGCGGCGCAGGAGGAGGCTCAGGTCCAGGGCTGGCCAGGGCGGGGTCCACAGGCACCCTGCAGTCTCTGGTTCCAGAGGGCGAGTCCGTGGCCAGCAAGCATGCCATCTACGCGGTGCAGGTGATCGCCGATCCTCCCGGGCAGGGGGAGGGGCCTCCTGCCCAGCATGCGGCTTTCTTGGTGCCCCTGGGGCCCGGACAGATATCAGCAGAAGGTACCAAGCAAAGGGCAAATTCGGGGGGGGGCATGGGCTGGCATGGGGCTGGATCTGGGCAGAGGCCAGCCCTGGAGCAGCCCAGCGGGGCGACTCTGGCACTGAGCCTCCCTGAGGCCACCGCGCCCCACCCCCAGTGCAGGCCACATGGGCTGGCATGGGGCTGGATCTGGGCAGAGGCCAGCCCTGGAGCAGCCCAGCGGGGCGACTCTGGCACTGAGCCTCCCTGAGGCCACCGCGCCCCACCCCCAGTGCAGGCCCCGCCCCCCGTAGTGAATGTCCGAGTCCACCACCCGCCTGAGGCCTCTGTCCAGGTGCACCGCATTGAGGGGCCCAACGCCGAGGGCCCTGCCACCTCCCAGCACCTGCTGCCACACCCCAAACCTCAGCACCCACGACCACCCACCCAGAAGCCCCTGGGCCGCTGCTTCCAGGACACGCTGCCCAAGCAGCTGGTGAGTGAATGCATTATTCTCAGGGGACCACTTTGCCATCTCTCAGGGTCTCATCAGAATTGCATAAAACAGGATCCGTAGGCTGGGGAGGAGGGCCTCAGGAAGGAGGGGAGTGGCGTCTGGTATTCCGTGACTCCTCTGCCACCCCTCCCCCTAGTGTGGCAGCAACCCCCTGCCTGGCCTCACCAAGCAGGAGGACTGCTGTGGGAGCATCGGGACTGCCTGGGGCCAGAGCAAGTGCCACAAGTGCCCTCAGCTGCAGTGTGAGTGTCTGGTCTCAGTGGGGCCACCCAACCCACACTCCTCCTCCCACCCCTGCAGCAGTCTGCTGCCCAATGTCACCACATCCACCTCCCCATCCACTTGGCCTCCCCACACTCCTTTCCCTCCTGCAAACCCCCAGCGCCCCACCACCACCACACTGTCCTCTTTCTGCAGACACAGGGGTGCAGAAGCCAGGGCCTGTACGTGAGGTGGGCTCTGAGTGCCCCCAGGGCTACAAGAAGTTCAACAGCAGCTACTGCCAGGGTACTGCCAGCAAGAGATCTGTGGGCTTGGGTCACCACGGGGAGGGTGTCCCAATGTTGGTGAGGGAGGAGTTGGGCTGGGCCAGGACCCTGAGGTTCTTGGAGCAGCTTGCTGTCACCCTATGGCACCAGACTAGAGGGACCAAACTCCTGCTTACCACAGACATCAACGAGTGCGCGATGCCAGGAATGTGTCGGCCCGGTGACTGCCTCAACAGCCTGGGCTCCTATCGCTGCATCTGCCCACCTGGGCATAGTTTGAGCCCCTCCCGCACTCAGTGCATTGGTGAGATGGGGGTGCTCAGGATACTGGAAAGTCACAGGCATGGGTGGGAGGGGTAAAGTTCCCAGCTGCAGGAGTCCAAGGCTGCAAGAGGTCTGAGTCAGGTTGAAGGTTGAATGCATGAGGAACAAGACCCAGAGCAGATAAAATCAGAATCAGTGGGGCTAAAGGTCATTTGAGATCTGACATTGGAGGTCACTTGGGCTAAAGGCTTATCCGAAGTCAGGATTTTATAGATAGGGGTTTAATGGGAAAGAAGGTGAAGTACAGAGCAGCCAGAATCAGGGTCAGTGGGGTCAGTGGTCACCCAGGTGTCAAGGATCATAGGCGCTCAGCAGCCAAATGAGTATCAAGGGTTGTCTGGGCCACAGAAGCAAGGTCTGGAGCAGCCGAGCAAAGGGATACAGAGTGTTCAGGCCAAGATGCTCATGCCCCCCACTGCCCTCTGCAGCAGACAAGCCTGAGGAGAAGAGCCTGTGTTTCCGCCTGGTAAGCCCAGAGCACCAGTGCCAGCACCCCCTGACCACGCGCCTCACCCGCCAGCTCTGCTGTTGCAGCGTGGGCAAGGCCTGGGGAGCAAGGTGTCAGCGCTGTCCAGCAGATGGCACTGGTGAGCAGGTGTGTGTTGGGGGTGAGCTGCCTGTCCATGAGTCTGGTCAGGGAACACTCATTTCTATGTCCCTTCTCTTACCACAGCTGCCTTCAAAGAGATCTGCCCAGCTGGGAAGGGGTACCACATCCTGACCTCCCACCAGACACTCACCATCCAGGGTGAAAGCGACTTTTCCCTTTTCCTGCACCCTGATGGACCACCCAAACCCCAGCAGCTCCCTGAGAGCCCCAGCCAGGTGCCACCACCTGAGGACACAGAGGAAGAGAGAGGTCTGGCCTGACCCTTTGACCCCTGTCCACAGCTATGATCTCATCGCCTAGCCCCCTAATTCTAATCCCTGACCTCCAGGCCTGACCCTCTGACCCCTGACCCAGACCCTAGGCTAGAACCTCCTATGCCTTCATCTGTAACCCCAGTCCCTTGATCAATCATAACTCTCCAGACCTGGATCCTGACCACTAAGCAAACATACTCTGACCCCAGGACTAATCTTGACCCTTGAACCAGAGACATGATTATTGAAGTCTTAGAGATCCTAACCATACAGCCCTACCTAGCTGCTGATTTCACCTGACGTCCTCTCCACACCCTTAATACTGTCATCTTTTTCCCTCTTAGGGTTAACCACAGACCCAGTGAGTATGACCCCAGGTGAGAGGGGTAAAGGAGGTGAGGGATTCAGGGAGGGCTCATGCTGCTGTCACCTGCAGCCATTGATCGAGGAGCGGTCAGTACAGCAGAGCCACTCTACGGCTACCACCTCTCCTGCCCGGCCCTACCCAGGTAAGCTGCACAATGCAGGGATGAAGGGGCTTAGTTGGAGTGGGGGGCATCATGGCTCAGGTACTGACTGGATAGCGAGGCTGGGGTGTGATCTGGGAGGAGAAGAGAAGCTGTTTCTGACCAGCCCACCTGCTGCCGCCTGCAGAGCTGATATCCCGCCCCTCACCACCTACCATCCGCTGGTTCCTGCCCCCAGACTTGCCGCCCTCCCGCAGTGCAGTGGAGATCGCCCCCACTCAGGTCACAGGTAAGGCCCACTCAGCAAGGCCACTCCCCTGAGCTTAGTCTTTGTCTTCCTCCTGTCCCCTGCAGTCATTCTCTAGCACCAACAGGCTAACGCTTGTCTGAGGCTGGGCACCGAGGAAGTCCTGTTGAGCAGTGGGAATCCCACCTTTCTCACAAGTGGTCCAGGTAGTCTGGTGATCATCCCCTAGTCTGGAGATAATTGTTCTTCAACCTGTATTTATTGAGCACCTACTATGCATCATGTACTGTTCAAGTGCTAGGGATACTACAGTGAACAAAAACATAAAAATTTCCTGTCCTTGCAGAGCAGACAGACAAAAAACAGATCAGTAAGTAAAAATCTAGTAAGTCTCATAAATACTATGAAAAAATAAATCAGAGAAGGAAGGAAGGAAATCTGGGGTTTGTGATACTATGTAGGGTAGGTGAGTAAAGACTTAAACTTTCTGGGCAGGGTTTTAAAGAGTGTTAGAAATTCAACAGAAGTGGGGATGGGAGTGGCTGGCAGGTTGAAGAGAACATTCCAAGGGGAGTTAAGTTTGGGCAAAGGCAGGGAAATGCGAAACACTGGGTGGAAGAGAGAGGAACCACATGCAGATGGGTGAGTCTGAACCTGGGGAGGGTGTACCCACAGCCTTGTTAAAGAGGCTTGGGCGTGATGCTCGAGGCTGCAAGAAGTGCCCACAAAGACTCGAGCGGTATAATAATTGTTACTGCAGACAGCAATCCCTCTGTGCCAAGCACTACCTGAAGAGTTTTCAGTACTAAATATCATTTAACCTTCTCAGAAAGTGAAAGGAGTATTGTGTGTCTCACTTTCTAGATGAGAAATCTGAGGCACAGAAAGGCTTCCTGACTTGCCCTGGATCACACAGTTGAGCCAGAATTAAGACCATGTCAGTGTGTGCTCCAGAGCACAAGGGAGCTGCAGCCCGAGTAGAACCCTGAGCCTAGATGAGCTTCTAGGATGAGGGCTCATGTGGAAGGTGGCAGCCCTGGGAGCGTAGCTGATGAAGCACCTGGGGAAGAAGGGTATTAGGGAGCCCCTCGGAGAGCTGCTGCTGGCAAAGAGCTGCCTGCAGAAGGCCACTGGCTGGTGGCTTTGGGCCCAGGCCAGATTCAGCACCCCCTGGGTTACATGGAGGTAGGAGTGGGGTGTTGAAGATGAGACTTGTGGGTAGAAGGGATCAAAAGGAGGGAGAAGGAGGAAACAAGGAATCCTGGGCTTAAGACAGAGGTGAGAGGTGTTCCTGCATTAGACCAGCTGTTGATGTAGGTTAGGAGTTGGAGGAATAGGGTCCTGCCTGCAGTGCCCCTGCCTCAGGGAGGGAAAGTAATCCACCATGTGCCACAGGGGCCAGGTCCCCAGGGCAATGGGTGTTGGAGTCACTGGCTAGAGGATACCAGTGACTAAGGAGGATACAGAGTCTAAGGTATTGATGTAACTCAGGAGAACTGGGTCTCAGAGCCCCATGGGTAAGGTACTGGGGTGACCAGGACCTCAGGGGAATATGGCTTGTTTGGGGTGGCCTCAGCTCAGGCTGCTGGAATGAGTGGGTATGGAAGTATTAAGGGGCCTCCTATTAGAGTGTTCTTGATGCAGAGTTATTTGTGGGGCCACCTGGGATCATGACGCTGGGATTATTTTAAATAAGGGGTAGAAAATTCTAGGATTGGAATCCAGGTGTGCAAGAACCTGAGGTCAGCCTGTGACTCAGCTCAAGTATTCCCATCAGTGTGTGTGTATGGGGGGGTGTTAGGGTCTGCCCTGGGGATGCGGCAGAAGACAGGTGCTCCCTGCTCACCCCCCTGGGCTGCTAATGCCCGCAGAGACCGACGAGTGCCGACTGAACCAGAACATCTGTGGTCACGGAGAGTGCGTTCCAGGCCCCTCCGACTACTCCTGCCACTGCAACCCCGGCTACAGGTCGCATCCGCAGCACCGCTACTGCGTGGGTGAGCTCGGGCAGGGCGGGCGCTCGGTTGGCTGGCCTGGAGGCAGGCCAGGCTCACAACTTCCCTTCTCCGGTCCTTCCCAGATGTGAACGAGTGTGATGCGGAGCCGTGCGGCCCTGGGAAGGGCACCTGCCTGAACACCGGCGGCTCCTACAACTGTCACTGCAACCGCGGCTACCGCCTGCATGTGGGCTCCGGGGGGCGCTCGTGCGTGGG